ACAGCGGGGATCGCGCTCCTTGTCTGCAGACAAAAGCCTGGCGCCTGGGAGGCGATGCTCTGGTCACCTGGGCAGGGGGGGGGAAGTCATGCTAAACTGAGGCTTATTCACAACAGGTCCATCTGAGAAGAAACAATGAGGTATCCCATCCAGTATATCTTCTATACAGAAGAATTTCAAGCTGGCTCCTAGGTGTCTGGTTACTCCTTACAACTTGATGTTTTTCCTGGTTGTTAAGCCGTTTCTTAAGATGTTCCAAACCAAATAACCCCTTGTCACTGAAAAAGGTAATTCATTTAAATTGAAACTGTTTATATATCAAGATTTTCCCTGTCAATTATGGCTTCAGACCCTCTTGATTTACACAATTAAAAGAATGCTTTGAAGAGGCTAAACTAGGGGTACAAGAAAGCTGTAGAAGTAGCAAACAGTGTGCTTCAAAAGAGAGAAATCTCTCTGACACCATCCACTGTTGTTCTCGAGAAGCTGGGAGAAACAGATCGTCTCCCTTCAGGGATCGTGCTGAGAACTTTGCTTGTCAACAAATCACCCGAGTGCCTTGGAGTGGTGAGATCCCAGCTCTCTCTCTCTCTCTCTCTCTCTTTTTCTTTCTCTCTCTAGGCATAGCTTTCAGAAGCTGAATTGTATTAGTTAAGCTTGAGCTAGGTTTCCCCAAATAGTCAATGAAACCAGGGTAATATTGTCATTGTTTTGTTTGTTTTTCCTTGCATGGCTATTATTACTAATACCATTATATATTTCATATACTTAGCAATAAATAACTTTTATAGTCAAACTGGTGGTAACTGAGTATGTTTTTCCTTCTCTACTTCCCCTTCCCCATTCGCTCTGCACCAATGCTTCTTTCACCTAAGCCAAAGATCCCTGTGAACCCCAGAAATACTGTGGGGTCTGCTCATCAAGAGGCTACCACTACTAGGACACTTAGGGCAGAAGATTGGGACATGCTAAGTTGGAGATACATAAGGGGATCACCTTGTATAGACTGATTGACCCAGTTTGGCTCAGATGTGCCCTAATGAACTGAAAGCTGGCCCAGGAGGGTGTCAGCTAAACAGCCAGCTGGATTCAGAGGTATTCTGTTTATCTGTCTGCTTGTGTCTGACTGCAGTTTATTGTTACCTTAAAAAAAATGACCTGATTCCTGGCATATGAGGGTGTCAGCCTGTCCATGCTGATCAACCCGGCCGGGTCAGGCGTGTCACATTAATCTGTGTGTGTGTGTGTATTTGACTGATTTGGTGGCTGGAGGAACCAAGCCCCATTGAGACTGAGTCCTACAAGATAGCTCCACTGGGGTTGAGGACTTGCAGAAGGGGGAGATACAGCTTCGTATAGAAACACAAGTTACACAAGCAGCACATGGATAGAATTACAAAGACCCTAGAAAAGTATCCCTAATAAATGAGTGCACCCCAAAGTGATGGGCAAATATGGTAACACAGGGCAAGAAATGCAAAAACCTGCCAACACATCTACACCACCCCAACAATTACTACACCTCACAACAGAGCCATCAGCATTCCCGGATCTTAGAGCTGCTCTTCCAGAAATGTGATATATCTCATCCAATGCACCGGTAGCCCAGGTAATACTCCCCTTCTCCAATTGAAGGGCATTGCTAGCTGGCAGGTGTGTTGTGGGGAACTGCAGACCGCCTAGTTTCCCTCCGTCCCTATAGAACCAAGCCAGGCCAGTCAGGGGACTTCACTACACACACCTTTGTTTACATTACCTTATCACAAGGGAAAGGAACATGGATATAAACATATGTACTCATATATATATATATATATAGATATATATATATATATAGAGAGAGAGAGAGAGAGTACATATGTTTATATCCAATATATATCTATATATATATATATAGTACATGTAAACATAGATAGCTAACAGATATACTTATCTAGAGTTTGGGTGAACAATAAATAAGCCACAAATAAATACAGATAAACAACAGGTGAAATAATAGCAACAGGGGACCCAGCACAGCCCTAGGGCTCTACTCATCTATGCATTCACAAACATGAGAGTTCACAAAACAGAAGGCATGACATCACACCATTTACGGTGCAAGAACCCCAAAGATCAACTTAATCCCAAGGGGAAACCCCAATGCCCTTGGGCTTTTCCAAAGCCCTACATGGAAGCTGGTAACTTTAGGGAGGCCCTTCCAGTGGGACCTCCACTTTCAGGAGCCCTTCACTAACCAGGGGACACTCCCCCTGCCCTGTGGCAATCCTCTTTCTCCCGAAACTCATGGCTCCCAGGCCTAGAGGGTGGCCCTCGTCCTCTGCGCTCTTGCCTGCAGTGGGCTTTGGAGGGGTGGCTGTCCCCTGGAAAAGGACTCCACTATGCAGGCCTTCTAGGGCCTCTGGCTCAGCCCTGCCTGCTGGCTCAGTAGCCCAAGCACCATCTGGCTCCCTGCAATCCACCTTTTGCTATGGGTCGGAGGCCTCAACTGCCTTGTGCAGCACCAGGCTCGGTCCTCTCCTGGACCCTCCGTGCAGCACATCCTGCACCGAGCTCCCAGCCTCATTCCAAGGGTTGAGGACCTGAGCCACCCAAGTGTGCCAAAGGTCCTACTCCATGCACCGGCCTGTGCACCGTGTCTCTGGCCTCATGCCAGAGGTTGCAAACCTGAGCCACCCCACGCAGCTCCCAGGGTCGGGGCACTGTGAGTCGTGATACATACCGAGAGCATAGCTGCTGAATCCGTCCACCGTTCCCCGCTGATGGAAGTCTTCAGGGGCACTTCTGCACTACTGCTTCTCCCTGAAGTGCAGCTCTCCTCAGCTCTTCTAACCCCGCTCTTCTTCTTCTCTGTCCCGGATGTGTTCCCCTCGTGCTGGGCACGCAGCTCCTTTTATACTCTCCAGGGCTACGCCCCTGAATGCTTCACTCAGGCTGGGAAGACGTCTTCAATCAGGTCTGGGGGTGAGGGCGTAACTCCTCTCCCCCTGTCCTCAGAAAAGAGGCATGACTTAACTCCTCTTGCTGCCTCCTGATTGGTGGATGGGCTCAAAACAGCAAGATTTCAAGCCTGGGACTCAACCCAAGCTCCAAAAGCCAAGCCAAGCCACCCAAAACATCATGTCTACTTGTGACCACACAGAGAAACTCCAGTATAGGCAGCAGGTCACGGCGGGGGGGAAAATCTCTTGAGCAGACATCCTTTCAGTGGGGTGAAGGTTTTGTCCTGATCAGGTTTTATCCCTGCTTCAATACTGCATCTACAAAAGTGTCCTTGTGGTGTTTGCTCATGGGCCTCTCATACACCCAGCTGAGCCTTGGCCCACAGTCCTGCCAGTCCCTAGTCCTGCCCCCCAGTTCAACCACCCTGCAGCTGGCACGCTCTGCACCTCCAGCCAGCTACACCCTTCATGCCCACTCCAGCAACTATGCAGCCTCCCCCTCCCAGGCCTCTCCTACCCACCCCACCAGCCTGGCCACATTGCTAACCACCCCCAACTCCAGGCAGCTTTCCCACTTCCTCCAACCCTCTTGCTCCCATTTTGGCCTCCAACCCATCCCACCAGGGAGCATCCCCATGCTTTGTCTGGCTGGTGCTGCAAGACAGCCTGCAGGTGGTTGTGCATTCATTCCTTCCCCCGTGCCCTCAGGATGTTGCTATTATGACATGAATTCCTTGCAGCCCGGGGACTCTAAAGCTTTTCACCATGACGTGAAGCAGACCAAACCAGCGGCTGCCTTGGGGAATATGGCATTCCTCTTCCTGTGCCTTGGTAATGCAGTGGGGTAATGAGGGCAGCATTCAGGTTAAGAACTGAAATAGATGTGTAGCCCGGGTACATCCAGGGATGTGCCCTGTCCCCAAGTGGAAGGGATGGGGTGGTTGCACAAGAGTGCTGTGAGAGGGACCTGCCACCTGGGAGGAACCCCTCTCTTCTCCATAGAGCCAGACTGAGACAAAGTGCTTAACTATATGCACATTTATTGCTACACAAAAATAAATACACATAAAAGACATTAAATATTTACAGAAGAATTAGTATGTGGCACCATATACAATGCCCTGCAATAAACACATTGCATCACTTTGAGGGACTGAAAAACAACCTGGGCGACTCACAGCATAGGCAATAATGAAGCCCCCTGCACAGAATGAACGTTAGTGCTCTGCAACACAGACACACACAGAAGCATGTACCCATGGAGCCGTCTCTCTCTCTCAGTCTCTGGATAAGCTTGTAAGTAATTTACCTGGAATTTAGCCAGTAATTTAGGATTGTGTCATCTAGATGCATATCAAAAGGGTCGTCTAGTCCATTCTGATTTGCTCAAGGTGTTCTTCTTTTAATATTCCTTTATCTTGTACCCCATCCTCACCCTCTTCCTCTTTGATCAATGAAACCATGTTACAGCACAAAATACTGCAAATGCTCAAGAGGGTGAGACTAGCCTTTTAGTTCCCTTTGCTTGGTTAGATAAGATGGGCATGGCTTCTTACTTCCCTCTGGTACAGGAGGCTACTTGAAAATGCTTCCAGCTAAAAGAAGCAGTCCAAAATACCATGGTGGGTTAGCATCCCCAAGGTCAATAGGGTCTGCGAAATTCAAGTTGAGCAGAGCTCTTACAGAGACCAGAGCCTGGGTGGTGGCAACAATTACCCCAGGCTTACAGGTGTGCTCCAAGAAAGGGGCTGGCCAGATGTAGGCACCCCAATGTAAGTATATCGAGTTTAATGGAAGACACAAGGTTTACCTCTGATTTTTCCTGGAATAACTCTACCCTAGATTGTAATAAATGGGAATACAGTAAAGTGATATGTTGTGTGTTTTCTCCTCTTTCACATCAGTATGACCATGTCTTGCATCCAAACCCAGAGGCAAAAGAACCCCCCATGGACAGAAGCCATAGCAGAAAGAGTCACACACAAGCGAGGAGGCAGAGTATTATGTAGCATTATGTTTTCCATCATCATACCTTGCATTTCTTGGACCTTAAGAACATCAGGACATGCTCTTCACCAAGATGAGCCCAGCAATGATGGTAAAGAAGAGGGTGGCTCGGAGGATCCATCCAGAAGCCTTGCTGGTTACAGGAAAGGCTGGTTTGCATTCCTGCCAGGCGAAATCCGTGGAGAAGATTCTGGCTGCCTTTCTGTCACCTTCTGTAAGTGTGCACTCAGACACAGTGGTGCAGCCTTTTACTGAGATGTTCACACTGACTTCCCCTGCAGGGCACAAGACACACACACTGAGCATCACGGCATGTCTTACCGGCCCTTGCAACAACCCCCTCCTAGGCCTCACAGCCGCTCCCTCCTCCTCTCAGCATTCAACACCCGACGCCAGCGCCGGGACGCACATCAGGTCCTGCACTAAGACACCGTAAACTCCTCTCTGGCCTTTTCCCCTGACACGATCTCGAGAGTTTCTGTCATTTCAAGAGCGGATGAATTCACTTTGATTTACGTGATATGCGACGGCTAGGGAGGGTGCGGGGCTGATGATGTTGCTGGGATTAGGTAGGTAGATTGCATCATTTTCTTGTTTACTGTCTACTTTCCGAAGACTAACAGAGGACAAGAAACTTTGTGACTTTTACCTCCCCAGGGAATCCCTCTGCTTGTGCCTTACCCCGAGGAGTTGTCTAATCTGGCAATCTCGGGCCAGCAATACAGCTGCAAGATGATCACATCATAGAGATGATGCAAATAGCCATGCACTGAAATCCAGACACGGGTTTTATTCAGTCCGGTCGCTTCATTATGTTGGTACCGGTAACCTTGCGAGTTCTCTTTCAGAGACTGAAAAGGCTGATCCGTGTCTGATGAAATGCCGGCTGTTGAGAGTTTTGTGGCTGAGACTCTGGGGGTTTCTTCCAAGCAGCAAGACAGTTTGCTTTGCTCTCTGTACAGGGAATGGCTCCTGGAGGCAGTTGCCCCCTGGGAAGCTGGGACTGGTTGTGGGGACTGCGATTGCTGAAAGAAAGGGCTGTGTGCGTGCTGTCTGTGCCCACCTCTGGCCAAGGACTCGTGTCTCTGGTGTGAGTGAGTGAGTCACACTCAGATCTCCAGCTTCCCTGGCTCTCTCGTCCCCTCCAGCAGGAAGCAAATCTGCTACAATCAACACACAAACTTTCTTATAACCAGTACTCTGCTTTCCCAGAGTGGAGGTCACAGCTGGGGGCAGCCTGTGGACAACCCAGCACAAGAGCTGGCCCTGGCTGCATGGTTTTCCTCCGGGTGCTTTAACACTG